AAACCCAGAGTTGGGGGTAAAAACCCACCATTTTATAAAACATCAAAACAAAAATTCATCTGATTTTCATTCTGCAGAAAATGGTCTGATACAGAAGACCTCAGTTAAGCCTTAGAGTTTCTCAACACAGCAGCAGGGTTCATATTTAGTCTTGTACAAAAGATAATTTCCTCTCCGGATGGCATCAGCCTTTTACCATTGATCCCTATCTTAAATGTAAAAGCAAATGGGGTTAGATCATATTCTACTGCAAGTTCATGTGAACTGATCACAACTTATAGGTAATTGCAATTACCTCAAACCTTCCACCAGTTTCACCTGCCCTCTAATCCAAACCCTTTCCCCATAATGCAAATGCCACATAGTTATCTCAGATGCCACCACATTACTCCCCTACTTAATTGCTCAGTTTTTCCACAGTCTTGGGGGGGCCAGAACACCAACTCCTCAGCAGGGCACACAAATGCCGTCACCATCTGACCCCACACCTTCCTATTTTGGGGGAAGTATCCTTATCTAAAGGAGCTCTGGTGATGCAGTGCTTAAGGCATTTGACTGCTAACCAGAAGTGTGGGGGTTCAAACCCAACAGCCGCTCCCTGGAAAGAAGATGAGGCAATCTAGTTCTGTAAAGATTTACCACCCTGGCAAGCCAAGGGGATTTGCTATGAGTCAGATTCAACTTGATGGCAGCAGGTTTGTTTTTTTTTTCGTTTATCCAACTCTAAAGGAGCCCTGATGGTACAATGGTTAAATACTCAGCTGTGAACTAAAAGGCTAGCAGTTCAAACCCACCGCTGTTCTAAAGAAGAAAGCTGTGGCAGTCATCTGCTTCTACAAATATTATAGCTTTGGAAATCTTATGAGGCAGTTCCATTCTGTCACATGGGGTTGCTGTGAGTCAGAATCAACTCAACAGCAACAGGCTTTTTAATGGATCCTGCTCAAGGATGCCTATGCCCACTCACTGGGGGGGGGGTTGTACTCCCACTGGCCCCTGAAGACCAAGCACCAATAGGCTGGTGCCAGTGGCAGTAACGGTCTAAAGCCTAGACACCTGCAGAATAAGGAGCTCCCCAGTACTGAGTGCAATCAAAAGTTCTTCTTAAAGAAGAAAAAAAATAATAGAGACATGGCACTGATAAAAATATAGACACCCAGGGTCAATGATTTTTGCCCCTACTTGCCTGTTTTTAAATAATGTCACTTTTACATAGAAGGGCTTCTTTTTTTTTTTTTTTTCCTTTTTTTATTAGGATTTGGGTGAAGATTTACAGAGTAAATTCACTTTTCATACAGCAGTTCACATATACTTTGTCTCATGTCATTGACCAAAATTTACAATGCAGCAGCTCCCCTCCCACTTCCTCCCCATAGTTACCTCCTCCCAGTGTCCATTCCTTCATACTCTTCTGCACCCTGAGAGGCCCATTGTCTGCCAACCCTGTATATGATCGTGGATACACTCTCCATTTAGACATACATAATTGTTTAGCTTGTTCACCCATCTATCCGTCCCTATACCCATGTTTGCTTTCATTGACAACTCAGTATTGTATTTGCAAAGGGGTTCATATTTGTTGTTTGTACTGCCCATGTAACTCTCTCTGTCTTTCTCATCCTCAATGCTGCCATATTGGTCACTCACATTTGGTACATTGCCCTAGAAGGGCTTCTTAATGCTATTTATTAGCAAACAATGACAAACCTGAGCCACTATAAGTGGGATCAGACACAAGACAAGGAAAAACAAGCAGCAAGAAATGTGAATGTGTTTTATGATTTTGTTCCATTTAATTTTTTTGTCTATGTAAGAGATACACAAGTTTCAAAAAGGTACAAAAGGTTATACAGTAAAAGTACCCTTTATATCCTTTTGTACCCTTAGAAATCTCTTGCACAGACAAAAAAAACAAAACTAAATGACACCATTAAATAAGACAATGATAGGTATGATCATGACACTGTAGTTATGGAAGAAATGTCCTTGTTTATTAGAGCTGAATACTGAACTATTTAGGAGTAAGATATCGTATCTATATACTTTGAAAACAAAAAAAGTAGATAAGCAAATATGGAGAAATAAAAAAGATTTTTAACTCTAAGTTTTGAGTGTATGAGTATTCATACTATTTTGTCTATTTTTCTGTGTATATGAAAAATTTCATGACAAAAAGTGAAACAAAAGTTTCTGAACATAATGAAAATAAAATATTAAATTCTAGCCAAATATTGCCCATGGAAGATCTAAGCCTGTGGTCTACTCTTTCTTTACTAAAATGGATGAGTATCATAGACTAGCCCCAAACCAAGACTCCCCTTGATGTAATCAGAAGGAGTCACTTAGCCCCTTTAAGACTGAATCATTTTCTGCTTTGAATTTTTTTTCTTGAAACCATGTGTTTTCAGTAATGGAAGGCATACTGAATTAAATGAAAAAAAATTTTTTTGAGGTAATATGGATTTGATACCATTAGTTGGACACATGTCCTGAGAGGTCCCTGGTGCTGGAGTGAATGGGATGAGGCCTATTTCTTCAGATTTATACAGCTATACAGGCCCCTACTATATGGCAGCGCATACTTAAAGTAGGGTAACAGATTCCCACTAAACGCTGGAGGTAGAAAATGTAGGTGGGCACCATATGTCCTACAGGTCATGAAACGCTTAAAACTGAAGCAGATTTAGACTGTTTCCAGGTAACCTAATGACCCATAATCTAAAATGATCTGATGAATGCCACACTTGAAGAAACACTGAATCATTTCATTTGCTCCTCTGACCACCCTCTAAGGTAGCTACTATTTTTATCCCCACTTTACAGATAAGAAATGGGGATGGAAAGGTTTATTGATCTGCTCTAGGTCAATCAACTACCAAAAGAGAACTGACTGCTGGAGTCCAAGTCTCCCTTACATAAAGCCACTATCTTTCTAAACCGCTGTGTCATAGGAACAGTACTATCTGAGGCTCAAGACTCCAAGGACCCAGTAGTGTCATCTATTCAAGAAGAATCACTGTTATTCAACATTCTAGAGAATTTTCCAGACGCATTCTCTAGAGTCATTTACACACTGTAATAATCTGACTGCATATGAGTCAAAGCACAATTCTGTACATGAGTACAAGCATTTAGTCTTGGTTTTCAAAAAAACATTCTAATTAAAATCATGACATATATTTTACAGTTATCAAAACAGCAATAATTCTTTACAGTAATGTAGTGAATGTAGAGCTCCATTTTCATAGTTCAATTCTGTACATGAGTACAAGTATTTAGTCTTGGTTTTCAAAAAAACATTCTAATTAAAATCATGACATATATTTTACAGTTATCAAAACACCAATAATTCTTTATAGTAATGTAGTGAATGCAGAGCTCTATTTTCATAGTTCAATCTTAGTACAAATTAAAATGAAAGAGACTCATTTTGAAATCTGAATACCTTTCAACAAACAGTGACACCTCATCAAAGGCTCTTGTTCTGGCCTCTACTCTAAAGAGAGAAAAGAGATTTTCAGTTCTCTTACCAAGAGACTGGTACCAAAAGAGCCAATGAGCCAGAAACAAGCATGCATGCACCTGCACACCATGGGCACACTGTTTTCTGAGGTTAGCTGGTCCTTCTAACACATATTGCTGACTGCCAGAATCCTTACTTTTAACAGACTCTGGCTTCTGAAGTTGTGCCACTCTCAAGAAGTTTTAAGAGATCTTGGTAATATGATATGACCATGACTTCCATCTCTCTGAGGTAGCTCCAACTCACACACACACCTTTGTCAGCATGGATTTTCAGTCTTGTAGCTAAAAAGGAAAATCCACCTGAGCACAGTGAGGATCCAGCAGATGTGAATGTTATCATCACTGCCTACTTGATTCTATCTTCCCATGAACTGAAAAGACAGCATTGTCACAAAAGACACATGCCCCCGGGCAGATCCAAGTTTTGTGGGCCTTGAAATCTGTATGAAACCCTGGATGCAAACAGTTCACACATTCAGCTGCTAACCAAAAGGCTAGAGGTTCAAGCCCTCCAAAAGGCACCTGGAAGAAAGCCTGGCTATCTACTTCAAAAAAAAAAAAAGCAAAATCAGTCATTGAAAACTCTGTGGACCACAGTTCTACTCTGAAACACATGAGGTTGCCATGAGTCAGAGTCAAATCAACAGCAACTATTTTGGTTTGAAACCTATCCAATGTGTAGGCCCTCTTTAAGAAATTAGGCACAAAAGTATATATATTTTTTTATAACACACCCTTGAAAGTGAGGAGCCTTGAAACTTATACTTCTTTATTTGTATATTTAGCTGTATGTTAAATCTACCTTTAGCTCAGTCATATAAAATTGTCAATATTCAACCCATTTTGACCCACCAAAATGGCAACTTCATATAGTTTAATAGCACACATCTAGTATGTGCTTCAATACAAGCTGTGTAGTTCATTCAAAAGTGTGTGAGAGTTCACCACTGGTGAAGTGAGCTTTCTGCAATCATTTAAGATAACCATGAAGACTCTCATAACGCTGCTTATCAAATTTTAGAGAGGGTAAAACAATTAAACTAATTTTGCTCGTTATGACTGAATTCTAAACACAAAATTTACAGATATGAACAAAACAAGTAAGAAGATGTAAATAAGAATAATTTATGTCTTTGGATGGTAGGTGTGTGGGCTACTTTGTCCTCTCAACTAATTATCCCAAAACTTGTGTTAAAAAAGGAAGAATAAAAAGGGAAGAATAAGCAGAAGTGGGGTCAGGAGAAGGAATGAAGAGACCCTAGATACCACTATCTGCTTTGACAATTAACGACACACTTAGCAATTGTGTATACATCAACAAACTGAACATATCTTAAAATTAATTTCAAAGAATGAAGACAAAAGCCAACTGAATTAGTGAGAAATGTTGTAACCCTAAATTTCTTCTGTTTGAGATGACACAAGTGTTGCTAGTAAGCAATGGGATGATCAAAGACAAACTGAAGTGAGCTTACTTTTTGCTTGCCTCACAGACATCTGTAATATTGGAGAAAAGATGGTGACTCTCTGTTTTGGTCATCGTGTCACTCAGTTCTTTAGAATTTTTAAACATTCGTATCAGTATCTCCAAGCTTAATAAATAGGAATGTTCAGAGGATATGACTTCAAAGATGGCCTAGAAAAAGAAAAAGGAAAGGTATTAATTCATTTCATTAAAGAATTAAATACACCCCTCAAAATTCTTCTATAATAATACCATGTAGCTTTAAAAGCAGAAAAAAATAAGCAGTGATAAAACTGTATCCCCACACTACTGTCTTTACACAAGACATATATGCTTCAAATGTCAAGAAACAGTCACTGCCTGTAGTGTACATGTGAGAAGATGTAAGTATTCCAATGACTTGAAATTGCATATCGAGGTCATTCCTTTGCCATGGGGTAGAATCTATGGAAGGAAGTGAGAGCATGTCATAATATCTCAGGGTGACATTAATTAACCTTTGAGGTCATCTTCCCCAGCCCTGCTTTCAAAGCACACTGCTTCAGGGACAGTTAATAATTAATGGCCACCACTTGGAATTCATGAAAAATTTCTCAAAGATACATTTCTTGGCTGCCCACGCACGTGTACTATTTCTCTTCCTATGTTTTGATCTGAGTAATTTGTAGGCAATAATAGAAAATATTCCAGCTATATGAACACAACATAACTGTATCTACCCACAAAAGGTTCTTATCAGCCACAGAAATTCTTTTATATAAACACATACAACTGAAAGCCATTTCACCCATTCAACAAGCCACTCTCTCTGCTCTAGTCAGTGTCTCAAGAAGAAATGAAGGAACCTGTGCAGACACTCTTGGTGTCAGGCACACAGTGGTTTTCCTGATAAGCCGTTGGTGATGAAATGCCAACACACGTATATGGATAGATACTCATGCCCTATGCAAGGAATCTAGCTCATTAGCAACATTAAATTCACATCTTCCAAGAATGGCAATACAGGGAGAATTCCTTCTCAGGGAAGGATGGTGAACATCTTCTTAGGCCTGAGATTCAGATCCTTTCTGGAGCTCTTCCTAGGAACACTGCTATCATCATCTCGGCCTCCAGAGTGCCTTCCTTTCAAGCCCTTGCCTCAAAGGGGGACAGGGGATTCTTCCCATGATTTCCTGCAGCATGGCTGAGGCTAGGCAGAGAACAGGGCATGCAGGGCGGTAACATCCCAGCTGCTGACAGTTCAGCCATATTGCACAAATCATGTTTGTGGTGCCAGGCCCAATCTTCATTTGGTGCATTCATTTTAGGGAAGTCTTTCTTCATTGTGTGGTCTGGCCTCAGCTGTACTACAGAAAATCAAGTAATATAATTGAAGAGTAAAGATGAGAACATCAAGAGCTTCAATTAATCTGTTTCTTGTGTGATTCTATTCAATCAATTTAATTGTCCTCAGGAAACATAATGCAAACTAAAGAAAATTCTTCCTTCCTGACAAAAAATATACATCACAGGTTGTTGATGGATTGGCAGATTGGAATGATTTAAAGTATTTTTGAAAACAAAGGCTTTCATAATCAAATCAAATACTAAGAGTGAGACAAAAAGATATGATGAACTATACAGAATAGACTACATGAAAAGATGAGTAAGTGACAGAGAAAGTTTAATAAATGTTGAAATATCCTATAATAGAAGCATGGATTACTTAAAAGATATTAGTTAAATAGGAATAATGGTATTTTTGCTTTATTTCATGCCAGTGAAATTAGAAAAGGACACCTCCAGTCCTTTGTAGAATTAATTTATATATATATACATATATGCATAGATTCATATGCATACATAAGGAGTTCTGGTAGCACAGTGGATAAAGCATTTGGCTGCTAACCAGAAGGTCTAAAGTTCAAACGCACCAGACACTCCAAGAAAGGAGGATGGGGCAATCTACTTTCGTAAAGATTTACAGCCTCAGAGAGCCAATGGCAGGGGCAGCATTCATATAGAAGGAAAGCTGGACAGACATGAATGCACAATTAAGAAGGTCACAGGGAGAGGGTAGTCACAGGAAGGGGAGAGGAGGAGAGTCTGTTATGGTCGGGAATGGTAATTGGGGCATGAAATCAAATGTGCACAAAATGCTGAATGTAAAACCAATTTGCTTTGTAAATCTGCAAAATTCAAACAAGAAAACCATTGGGGGTCGCTATGAGTCAGATTTGACTCGACACGGGCTGTGAGTTTGGTTTTTTGATTTTATATACATACATACTAATATGCATAAGACAGGAAGAAAGTGCTTTGAGAATTTCATGATATAATGAGTCATTTTCTTAAATGATATTGGTAAAATACTATTGCTATTATCTGTGTTTTCCTTTTAATAAAAATTTTATTTGGGAATTCTAGATTTATAGAATGCCTGCAAAGAAAGTTCAGAATTCCTGCATATTCTTCACCCAGTTTTCCCTAATTTTTTAATTATTTTATATAACCAGGGTACATTTGCCAAAAGTAAAGAAATTAACATTAGTGCAAAAAGCCCTCTTCTCACTTATCAACTATCTTGTTAGCTGGCATTTTGCATTTACAATAATAGTAAAAAAAAAATCTACTACCCAATTATTTTTTTGCATTAATGACAAATAGCTGGCAATAACGAATACCAAGGTGCAAGGCAAGAGTAATGCTGCTGTGATGAGTAAGGGGACATATTTTCAGTGGTTTGGCAGTTATGTAATGATTTAATTTGGCTGTTATATAATGATGTATTTTGACAAGTTATGTAATGATATAGTTATCCTCTATTTTATGATCTGATGTTTTCATCCTCTATTTTTGCATAACACTGATTTTTCACATAATGACCTGGTCTTTGGAACCTAACCATATCCATAAGTGAGGAGAAGGCATACTATTAACTTTATTCAGATTTTACCAGTTTTTCCACTAATGTCCATCTTCAGATATAGGATCTACTGTCTGTTTTGTTTTTTGATCTAGTTTAAATACCTGGGCTTGGTGCTTTATTTCTTTAAATTTATAATGATGTTGGATTATTTCACTCTTTTATTTTCTGGGATCTTATCTGTGGTTTCTCATTTTTTATTTATCAATGATCTCATGTTGCTTTTGTAAAAGGAATAAAATAACTATGTTTTCAAAGGACAACACTGAACAAGTGCACATGGCTGGTAAAAGCACAGATGCACAGGTACCCACACTCACATACCTCTTGCCTTTTTCTTTCCTCCTGGCTAACTGTCTGAGATAGTCCATTTCTCTTCACCTGGGGAGAAAGCAAAGTAAGTTGAACACATTAACAATTCCTTTATAATATAAGGCATAACTCCAGGTCCTTCCAAAATGAATTAAGGGAAAAGATATAAAATATTGAACTCAGTACATACTGACTCTTAATTGGCATTTATAACCAAAAATAATATTCAATTACATAGTTAACAGAAAAGAACTGAAAAAGTGTCTTTATCCTATCAGGTTCTCTTATAAGGATGAGTTACTCTGTTCTATTCTTAGTTCTGGTTATTCCTCAAACATTTTTCAAATGAATCTCCTTAATCATAAATAAAGAAATATAATAAAAAAAAAATGAATCCTCCATAGCTCTGATAGTTTACCATCAGGTTTGCACACTGAAAGAGTAAAATTACCATAGAATGGCAATGCTTTTTATAAACATGCAAGCAAACTAGAAAATACCAAAAAAAAACCACCCAAACGAACATACAAAAAAACCCATTCCCATCGAGTCAATTCTGACTCATAGTGACCCTCAATGGATTTCCAAGGCTGTGTCTTTACAAAGCCCACTGCCTCATCTTCCTCCCACAGAGCAGTTAGTGGGTTTGAACCGCCCCTGCCAACCTTCTGGTTAGCAGCTGAATGCCTTATCCACTATGCCACTAGAGCTGCTTACAAGAAAACAAACTCCCCTCACATTTCAGCAGTCTTCTCAGTAGATTGAAATTGACTGATAAAAATGTTAAACTGGTACTCTTTTGAGAGGCAACAGTATGTATAAGAACACTAGTACCATATTTAGCATATTGAAGCTATTTAGCATAGCTTAAGTTGAGCCACCGTAATTCCTATCTTGATTGCCACACGTTTTACCTGATCGCTCTAGTTCACATTATTATAATTGAGTTTTCTAAACCAAACCGTGAAGGCAAGGCCTGGATGCCTCTCTGGTACCCTTAACACTGAGCCTGGCATCTGAAAGAAATGAATGTTTTTCAGTCAAACATTAAATTAACACAAAGCAAGGCATACATAAAATGCCAATCAAATAAATCTTGCATGTTACCGAAACAAAAGCTGAGTGTCCTCCCCACATGTTAAGAAACAATGATAATACAGTATAAATAGCCCCTCAAACTTTTTGCTACCTAAAAAAATTAAAAACTATGTTCCCTAGATACACTTTTAAACTGATACTTAATTTTTTTGTCATGTTTAAAAGACATTTTAAAACGTGTATTACTATCATCTTCTAAATGGAATATCAAAACCATATTGATATCTACCATCATTCATTTAAACATCAGTGAATAGCTTTCCATTCAGTTGGAAATTTTACATTAATCTTTCTCCTCAAAATCATAGATCTATGTCAATTTTCCACCAATGCTATCCTAATGTAATATAATCGTGTGTTTTAAGGTCTTTTATTGACTGTCATACATACTATGATGCAAAAGTATGTCTTTACATTTATTTTTAATTTCCTGTGACCATTAGACTCTAACTATAAAAAAAAGAACCCTGCGACTTCCAGTAAGATAAAGGGATACGGAGACAAGCGACACAGACCATCCTCAACAAAGAAAAGAGAAACCAATCGACAGAGATACAGAAGATAATTGTGGAGCCCTGAGCTTTGAAAGAAACTATATAGAAGTGGATTAGGCAACAAATAGTAGAAAAGCCTGAACGAAAATAGTGGGTATGGAGATGATCAGAGCTGCAGACTGTCAGCTAATCTGACGGGACCAACAGCCTGAATATTTCCAAGTGATGTTGGGACCTGAAAATTGACCTAAAGATCGGTCCTGGTCACCAAGGTCTGCAGGGATGACTACGCTAGTGGCCTATAACTAGGAAGGGAAACAGGAAGGAGGGAGACAACCTGAGCTGTGGACTTTCTGCTGTCTGGAGGGCACACCCATTTTGATTGTTTACACATGGCAGCCATTTTGGATTTTTAAAGTGACTGAGGGTGCAACCATTTTGAATCTTTACAAGTGGCAGCCATTTTGGATATTTAAAGTGACCAAGGGTGCAGCCATTTTGAATCTTTACAAGTGGCACCCATTTTGGATTTTAAAGTGACAGCATTCTCATTTGGATTTCAGGGACCTAAGAATAGACTCTGTTTGCCAAGGACCCAGTGTCATACCGGAGGCTGACAACAGGAAAGGAGACACATGGTGAGTTTGTAAGTGCTGCCAACTAGTGAACAGAGGAGCACAGCACAGTATCCTGCTTACATAGATAACATACAAACAAAACAAAGAAAATGAAAATCGTGGGCAAGTCACTCCAACATACAATCACCAATTAAATATAAATACAAAAATGTCACAATGCCTCAGATACAACAGAGAATCACAGTCCACACAAAGAAGCAAGATAAAGCAGGAGAAACAAGGGACCAGGATAGAGACCCAAAACACATCCCTGAGGAAGACATAGCATTGGAACTCTCTGATAAGTAATTCAAAAGAATTATATTTAGGTATCTTCAATGAACTGAGAGGTAGATAAGGAAAACACTGACAAAACTGAGGAAAACACAGAGAAAACCCTAGAACAATTTTGAAAGAAAATACAAGAAAAAAATGACAAAATAAATGAAAAATTAGAAATGATACAAAATCTACACACAGAAATCCTGAAGATTAATACTAAATTGTCAGGAATAATTAAGATACTGAACTGGCAAAGGAGTAGAATTCAATCAATGGAAGACAAAATTAGTGAGATTGAAGGCAAATACCTGAATACTTCTCTGGAAAGGGATTAATGAGAAAAAAGATCAAAACAGAATGAAGAAAGCCTAAGGTTCATGTGGGATACCATCAAAAGGAATAACCTACATGTAATCAGAATTCCAGAACAAGAAGAGACAAAACCACAGAGAAAATTGTCGAAGATTCACTGGAAGAGAATTTTCCTGGTATGATGAAAGATGAGAATATATCCATTCAGGAAGCCCAACGAACCCCAAACAGAACAGATCCGAAAAGAAAATCACCAAGACATATCATCATCAAACTCACCAAAAACAAAGAAAAAGAAAGAATCCTGAAAGCAGCACAGGAAAAATGAAAAGTTACCTATAAGGGGCAACCAATAAGACTAAGCTTGGATTTTTCAACAGAAACCATGCAGGCTCGAGAAGATAATGGGATGGTATATTTAAAACCCTGAAAGAGAAAAATTTCTAATCAAGAATTATGTACCCAGCAAAATTGTCCCTCAAATATGATGGTGGAATTATGACATTTCCAGATAAGCAGAAATTAAGGGAATTTGTTAAAACCAGACCAACCTTACAAGACATGTTAAAGGGAGTCCTTTGGACAACAAAAGCAAATAACAACTGGTCATTAACACACAAGATGACATAACCCAGAAAACAACCCAGCTATGGAAGTAGCCAAAGTAAATAAGCCTACAAGATTGTAAACAGGGAACCAGAGACATCAACTGACAAATGAGGACAACTACAAACCAGAAAGAGGGAAAAAACTGTATAGTTACAGAACTTCTAGATGGCAGGGAAGTCAAGACAACTACAAGATAGAACAGACTGTTCTATACTTGAGAAGAAAACTATAAATCACAGGGTTACCTCAAAGAAAAATGATAAACCTTCACATCAAAATGAAAAAGAGGACCAGCACAAATATTTAGCAAATACTAAAACAGTAGCAGTGACGGAAGTCATAACATGATTCATAAACAAAACAAGCTCAGCATAGAAAATTATATGGAACAAAGAAATCAACACCACGAAAAAGCACATAAAAATGACAGCAACATACTCATATTTGCTGATAATTACATACCTGGCAAGGGACTTATCTCTAAGATTTGTAGAAAATTCCAATGCCTCAAAAGCAATTAACAATCCAATTGAAAAATGGGCAGAAGACATGAATGAATAGACACTTCACCAAAGATAATATCCAGGTGGCCAGCTAATACATGAAGAGATGTTCATGATCACTGGTCATCAGAGAGATGCAAATCAAAACAACAATGAGATACCATCTCACTCTAGCACTGATGGCAAGGTTCAACAAGACAGAAAATAACAAATGTTGGTGGGGATGAGGAGAGATAGGGACTCTCATACACTGCTGGTGGGTCTGCAATGTGATACAACCACTATGGGAAGCAGTATGGTGATTCCTTAGAAAGCTGTAATTGGAGATACCATTTGACCCAGGAATCCCATTACAAAATATATATCCTAGAGAGGTGAGAGCCAGAACAGGAACAGATATATGCACACCCATGTTCATCACAGCACTATTTACAATAGCAAAAAGATGGAAACAACATACGTGTCCATCGGCGGAAGAGTGGATGACCAAACTATGTACACACACACAATGGAATGCTATGCAGCAGTAAAGAATAATGTAGAGTCTGCAAAATGCCACATAATAAGGATGAACTTGGAGGACATTATACTGAGTGAAATAAGTCAATCACAGAAAGACAAATATAGTATTATTAGTTCATTGCTGTGGATGGTCAAGGAAAGGTTTATATATGGAGGGAAACTTTCTTTGTTGGTTGCCAGGGGTGGGAGGGGATGGGAGGGAACACTGCAAAAAAAAAAAAAAAAAAAAAAGCATTGACCCATGTCACTTTAGTTTTGTATTTCACTGTTTCCAAATTATATTTCAATAAAATGCATTAAAAAAAGACCCCTGAATAGCATAATTACTACAAAATTCATAAATAACCTCTGATCCAAACAACATTAATTACTTCCAATTTTAACACACTAAGCACTAAAGTTAAATTTTATTGCAAACGCATCCTTTAATTAGATGAAAGATTTTTACTGTCTTCATTAAAGGAGGCTTTACTGACACCAGTATTTCAAATTGACCTCCTTCATCAGGTGCCCTAGTGATTGTACACCTTAGGGCATGGCATCTAATAAGGTGAGACGTGTAGGAGAGATGCCTTTATTTAGTAAAAATGGGAAAAAGGCAATTATGAAAGGGGAAGTGAAAAGAACTGGAA